TCCATCAGGAAATGACAATTTAAAATTGAAATGAATTTTGTTCTGATACCATGTTAATTAAGTAATAAATTTTTAAACTAACTCAATTCCAAATAAAAGCTTAAAAGAAAGATTGTCCAAATCATATATTAAAGATCAATCATCCCTTGAATTGACCGATGTGGAACTCTTACAAAAATGTGCAAATGATATTCTGCAAAACAATTTAACCAAACTCCACCTAATTATTTTTTCCATAGTTTTAAAATTGTAGATAAACATCTCTACCGACGTACGGTGCGGGAAAACCAAAGATTACTTTTTGGTAACCTTGAGTTATTTATTTTATATTCTCGCGTTGAAAAAAATGAATCACTTTTTATTATTGAAGTTTAAAATTTGAAAGCTGAAGAGGACGTCCAAGAAATTACCACAGCAACAATAGGAAAGTAGGACAACAACGGTCAATTTCGATGACGGCAATTCTGGCATGAGATGTGATAGTGGACTGTATTTTAATTTTAAATTCCTTTTCGATCACCTCTTCTAAAATAATAAGATATGGACATTCATATATACAGGATTAATTCTGATGTATCTTCCTTCCATTATCAGCTTGTCTATGATTATTATTGTTCCTAAATTAGAGGCCTAGACAGAACATCATGCATTTGTTTCTTAATATGTTTACATGTACTATATGCTCGGAGACAAAAGTTTCGTGGCTTTAATAAGAGGTAAATATTCACATATGTCATGTATTTACACCAAATTAAATTAAGCGATTAGAAGTTAAAAATGACATTGAGAATACATAATACTTAACTATTATAGTTAAGTAAAAATTGTATATATAATAAAAGACACGTATCTTGTATTTATTAATCTGGTTTAAATATAAATATAATTAAATTTAATTTTTCATTGCACCATAATGATTAGTTGAGAACACTGTATAACTACTAGCTTAATTAGTAGGCTTTACTGTAAGGCTTGAGATTGACTTGTTTATCCTAGGAACATGGGGTGTATATAGGCTACACACGTACTTAATTTGAGTCGTATCATATGTCTAAGTCCTTTTATATATGTAAAATAACAAGGTATAGATGTACCTCAAATATTCATGATAGGGACAAAAAAGGACTTTGCAAACAATATACCCCAATCGAACAGGACTAATACGACCTCAAGTTACAAAGAATTCAACATATTACTATTTGGCCCCTTAAGATAGTAGAGGAAAGTAATATTTGAGATTATATTTTTTTTTTCTTTCTAGCTTTACTTTTCAACAATAATAATTCTACTATATTATAAAAGAGAGTTTAGGGCCAAATATAATATATAATATTCAAGATTTGGCCCTAAACTCTCTTTTACTTGTGGGACTTTTAAAAGGAAGTTTTTTTAATATTATATATTATATTTATTATATAGTAGAACTTGGGCATAAACTCCCTTTTAAAATAATATAGAATATATATATATAT